TCTTTTCATGAAGTCTTTTGATGCAACATAAGTTTTTAATTTTTAGTATGTCCCAGTCGTCTATTTTGTCTGGTTTTGTTGTGTAGTTTGCAAAATGTTTGGTAGTCTATATATTACCTGAATTAGTGCCCTCACATTTGTTCCTATTTTTTCACTGATGACCTTCATAATTTTGGGATTCACATTTAGGTCTTTAATCCATGCTGAGTTGGTTTTTTTATAAGGCGTGAGGTAAAGGTCTTGTTTCAGTCTTTTGCATATCGCTTTCCAGTTCTGCCAGCACCATCTGTTGAAGAGACTATCCCCTCCCCAAGCGATATATTTAGGTACTTTGTCAAAAATCACTTGGCTGTATGTGAATGGGTAAATTTTCGGATTCTCAATTCTATTCCATTGATTAGTGAATCTTTCATTGTGCCGGTACCATGCTGTTTTGACCACTGTAGCTGTGTAATACATTTTGACATCGGGGAGTGAGAGGTTTCCAACCTTATTCTTCCTAAGCAGTGCTTTGCCTCCTGGGTCTCTTTCCTGTCCATGTAAAGTTTGTAATTGTTTTTTTCTATCTCTTTGAAGAATGTCGTTGGAATCTGGATTGGGATTGCAACATATTTGTAGATTACTTTGGGCAGTATTGACATTTTCACAATGTCAAGTCTTCCTATCCAGGAGCATGGTTCATTCTTCCATTATTGTAGGTCTCTTTTGGTTTCTTGTAGTAGTGTTTTGTAACTTTCTTTGTATAGGTCCTTTTTTCCCTCTGGTTACATTTATTCCTAGATATTTCATCCTTTGGGCTGCTACTGTAAATGGTATTGCTTTCCTAATGTCCTTTTCAGTGCTGTTGTTTTTGGTATAGAGGAATCCAACTGATTTTTGTATGTTGATCTTATATCCTGCCACTTCACTGAATCTTCCAATGAGGTCTTGTAGCTTTTTTACTGAGTCTTTGGGGTTTTCATTGTATAGGATCATGTTGTCTGCAAATAGAGTTTTACTTCCTCTTTGCCAATTTGGATGCCTTTAATTTCCCTGTTTTGCCGTATAGCTCTTGCTAAGACTTCCAGCACAATATTGAATAGGAGTGGTGACAAGGGCATCCTTGTCTGGTTCCTGTTCGCAGTTTCTCTCCATTGAGAGTAATGTAGGCTGTTGGATTGTATATATGCTCTTAATTATGTTGAGGACTTTTCCTTCAGTTCCTATTTTGTTGAGTGTTTTTATCAGGAATGGATGTTGGATTTTGTCAAATGCCTTTTCTGCATCAGTCGACATGATCATGTGGTTCTTTTCTTTTTTCTTATTTATATGGTGGATTACATTGATCGTTTTTCTAATGTTGAACTGTCCATGCATCCCTGATATGAATCCCCCTTGATCATGATGTATTATCTTTTTGATGAGCTGCTGGATTCTCTTGGCTAGGATTTTGTTGAGAATTTTTGCTTCTGTGTTCATGAGGGATATTGGTCTATAATTTTCTTTCTTAGTGATATTCTTCCCTGGTTTTGGTATGAGGGTTATGCTTGGTTCATTAAATGTATTAGGAAGTTTTCCATCCTCCTCTGTCTTCTGAAATAATTTGAGTAGAATTGGTGACAGCTTTCCCCTGAATATTTGGTGGAACTCACCAGTGAAGCCATCTGGGCCTGGACTGTTTTTTGGGTTGGGAGTTTTTTGATGACTTGATCAGTTTCTTCTTTTGTTATGGGTTTGTTCAGGTTTTCTACTTCACTCTGTGTAATTTTAGTTAGGTCATGTTCTTCTAAAAATGTATCCATCTTTTCTAAGTTTTCAAATTTGTTGGAGTACAAGTCTTCATAGTATTCTGTTATTATCCTTTTGATTTCCTTTGGTTCTGTTGTGACATCGCCCATGTAGTTTCTAATGTGTGTTATTTGTGTCTTCTCCCTCTTTCTTTTGTTAGGTTTGCCAATGGTCTGTCAATTTTTAAAAGCCTTTCAAAGAACCAGCTTCTCCTGTTGATTGTTTGTATAGTTTTTCTGTTTTCTATCTCATTTATTTCTGCTCTATTCTTTATTATTTCTTTCCTTTTGGTGGTTGTAGGTTCCCTCTGTTGGTCTGTTTCTAATTGTTGTAGATGCTGTGTTAATGTGTTAATTTTGGTTCTTCTTGTAGCACGTGTGCCTTTATTACAATAAATTGTCCTCTCAGCACCGCTTTCGCCATGTCCCAAAGATTTTGGTATGTTATTTTTGTTCTCGTTTGTTTCTAGGAAGAGTCTTTTTTCTTAATGCATAGAAAGGCACATAATATATCACATATTAAGAAAAACATTTCACTAACTGATGTTACGTATGAATAGCACCTAACAACATGCAAATTTGACTTAAAGACAGACAGAAGTGGAACTGGTTAGTAATCTGAGGGCTGGCTGTGTTAATGTCTGTTTCTGTATCTTGACTTCCACAATGTGTTGTTTAAATCATTATCCTTTAACCTTTAAAAGGGTCAAAGTCTGGGAATGACTAAAGTGGAATATACAAATCAGCCTGTGACCTCACTCAGGATTGAAGCCAATTTTTATTGTATTAGATATCACTACCAGTCACCACTTGTCTGTCAGTTTGTCAGAGTCACATGGCTTGTGTGTTGCTGTGATGCTGGAAGCTATGCCACTGGTGTTTTAGGCAGGGTCACCCACAGTGGACAAGTTTCAGATGAGCCTCAGACTAACACTAGGATGAAAGAGGTGGACTACTTCTGAATGTTTAACTGCTGAAAACCTTATGAATAGCAAGAAAGCACTGTTAGATATAGCACTAGTGGTGGCTGTGTGCCGTGGAGTCTGTGCCGACTCCTAGCAACCCTGTACAGGGTTTCTGAGGCTGTAAATCTTTACGGAAGCAGAATGCCTCATCTTTCTCCTGTGGAACAGCTGGTAGTTTCAAACTGCTGACCTTGCGGTTCACAGCCCAATTCGTAACCTCTATGCTACCAGAGCTCCTTAGATATAGCACTAGAAGATGCAAATATTATTAATGTTGTTGTTGTTGTTGTTAAGTGCCGCTGAGTTGGTTCAACGGTTTCTGAGGAGCGGTTGGTGAACTTGAACCACCGATCTTGTGGTTCAGACTGCCTTTGCAGTCCAGTGCATTAACCCACAGTGCCACACCAGAATATTGTCAGTAATGGGCACAAGAGTAAGAGCATTGGTGAGGACGGCACAGGACTGGGCAGTGTTTCATTCTGTTGTACATAGAGTCTTCGCTATGAGTTGGAACCGACTTGGCAGCATTTGACAACAACAGCACAACCAGGGTGGTTAAAAAAAAAAAAAAAATCAGTTCTGAAAGTCTTTAACTTCTGAGTTTCGTCATCCATTGAGAATCTCTGTCAGAGTAAAAAACGGACCCAGAAACTTCTGTTTGGCTAGATGAAATAGCATAGTTCAGTCCCTACTCTTTCACAAGACGAAATGCTAAGCCGTGGAGCAACAAAAATGGCATTGTTTGGTATTTGCATGTTGTTAGCTGCTGCCGGTGATTGGCCTCTGACTTGTGGTAGCCCTTCGTGTAAGAGAATGAGATGTTGCCCATTCTTACACCCTCTGCACCATCATTGGCAGGTTTGGGTCCATTTGCATAGTATTCTGTCCTGATCCGTTTGCTTTTCATTGGCTGCGTTTTGGAGTCAGATCTCCACATTTTTCTTCCTAGATTGTCTTGTCCTGGAAGTTCCACTGAAACCTCTTCATCATGAGTGACCTTGTTGGTATATGACATACCGGTGCCATTGCTTCCAGCATCACAGGGACATGCCAGCTACCATAGCTGTGCAAACCGACAGACAGTTCTGTAGGGCTGTTGAAATTCTGGCAGGGAGCCAAGAGGGAAGTTGGTTACAGCAGGATAGAATGAGTGACCCAGGTGGCATTCTTATTTTGATCGTGTGTCATCAGGACATGCTTCTCAGTTGCACATCTGGGTGAGATTCTTGTAAGCAGAGGATGAGTCCAGGTGGAAAAGCAGTCAAGGAGTCTTGTGTGGCCAGAGATGTGCTGGAAAGGAGGCTGGAGTGATGGTGTGGGCCAAATTCCTGGAAGCCTGGGCCCGGTCACCTTTATTGTGTAGACATGTGTTTGTAGGAAATACCATGATGTGATGTGTGTTTCATTTTTAGCAGGATCTCTGGGTAGCTTAATAGAGAATGTTGTTGGCAGGGACAGTGGGGAGAGGAGGCAGGAAAGCCATCAGGACATCTGGGCACGCTGTGATGAAGGTTCAAACCAGGACGGAAGGAGAGGGAAGTGGGAGATGAGGGAGGCCCAATTGACAAGATTGCTCAGAATGCTGGAGCTTTTTAGCTTTGATGATGGGAATGCGAAGGGGTGAGAGAGAGCCCTCGAATTTCAGATATCCCTTCTCTATACCAGTTTCCCAGTAACAGGTTCTTTTGGAGCCAATTGCTGTAGACTCAACCCCGTGTGTGTCAGAATAGAACTGTGTACCGTAGGATTTCCAGGGCTGATTTTTTTGGAAGTAGATTACCAGGCCTTTATGCAGTGTGCCTCTGGGTGGACTGGAAGTTCCGGCCTGTGGGTTAGCTGTGGAGGGAGCGCATTAGCATCTGCAGCAGCCGGAGATTCCAGGTGCTTTTGAGGAGGCTGTTGGAGGAACTAGGCCTTACAGTCTGTCTGCCCTGTTGGGCATAATGGTTGTGGGGTGGTCTCTCTACTCACTTCCTCTTCTGGCATTCCAAGTAAAATGAGGCTTTCTTTGACTTGTTTCACCGGCTCAAAGGTTACTCTGAGTCATGGCTAGCCAGTCCATAGGAGTGCCAGACGGGTAACCACTGTGGCATGTTGCCTGTGGTTACTGCTATGCGCCCTGGTCATTTCAGTGACAACTCCCTCCTGGAATCCAGAGAGTGTCACTCATTGTCATTGGGAGACTGTGGCTTTCCTGTGTGTGAGTCAGCTCAGTGGTCAGGGAGCTGCCTCCCCCCTTTCTCGGGAAGTAAAAGTGCTTGTTTAAAGCATGCTGTCTCCTGCCCCAGAGGAACCACTTCTGCTGGCTGAACTCAAACCTGGGCGCCCCCACCAATTTGATTGGAAGTCCAGCTGTGAGACCTGGAGTGTCGCCTTCTCCCCAGATGGCTCCTGGTTTGCTTGGTCTCAAGGACACTGCATTGTCAAGCTGATTCCCTGGCCGCTGGAAGAACAGTTGTAAGTACTCTCCTGCCCTGACCCTGAAGGAATGGTGGATGGTGGCTTGAAGATGACTTGGGCGCATGCCCAAATGGCTCCTGAACCACCCCAAATTCTGTACATGCCCTGTGAAGCGCATGTAAACACCAAGTTCAACTTTATGTCTTAGCAAATTTATTGAGTTGGCGCAATATACAGTGTGCGCATTTAAAGTGTATAATTCATTGTTGGCTTTGTGTTTTTGTTTTTTTTAATGTTTTAACAAGTTGTTGTTGTTTTAATTTTTATCTCAGTGTAGTGAAAATACAAGAAATCAGGATTTTTTTTTTTTATGCTTTTCTTTTGAACAGTGATATTTTACATGGGAGAACATTGGTTTTTACACTCATCCTGTTGTATTTTGTTTCATTACAATGGTTACAATCCCCTTCATGCATCATCATTCAACAGTATTTGCTTCTATTCCCTGTTTTTGGTTGTTTTTTGTTTGTTTGTTTTTGTTTTTTTTTAATGTACACACTTGGCCACCAGCACACAGCCTTTCTCATTCCTTGAGTACTGCAGCACCTGGGCTCCTTGACTTAGACGGTTGTTGTTGTTGTTAAGTGCCCTGGCCTTGGTTCCATGACCCTAGAGTCCTCAGCTGCTCCCTCTCTCCATGTCCCCATCTCTGCCTGCATCTTTGGTGTCGCTGCTTCTCTGGATAGAGTCCCATACTACACTCATGCGCTTCTCCCGTAATGGTCCTAGGATCCTGTGTTTCTGTACTGTAAGATTATCTCCTCTCCCATTTATGTTACAAAACTTCTACCTTTACAGTTGTGATAATCACAATTAGTCATGTAAACAGTTACTCACTATTGAATCGTAAGAATCTTATCCCTGTCTCCTTTCACCAGACCAGTCTAAACAAGATGCAAACTATTCAGTGGGGAGGATTTTATTTAAAAAAAAAATAGAACTGAAGTTTGAAGGTTCCAAACTGTCTCCCATGCCCTACTGCTTCCCACCGCCAATGTTTATTTTACTTTTGGTGAAGATTTGCATGGCGGGACATAACACCCACCCGTTCAACAATTTCTGCCTGTGACATTGGCTACATTTTTTCATGCTGTGTCACCTCGCCACCACGGGGTTTTATTGGCTGTTATAGAAGCAGATCATCTGGTCCTCTGTGGATCTGCTGGGTAGGTTCAAACCTCCAGCCTTGGAGTTCGCAGCCGAGTGCTTAACTGCTGCAAGCACCTGGCCTCCTTGACTTAGACGGTTGTTGTTGTTAAGTGCCCTGGCATTGATTCCATGACCCTGTCTGGGATTTCCGAAGAGAAGCTGGTAGGTTTGAACCACTGACTTTATGGTTAGCAATCCAGTGCTTATCCTACAGCACCACACCAGGACTCCATAAGGTTATAGTGGTGGTGTGGTATGCTGTGGAGTCAGTTCCGACTCATAGAAAACCCTGTATAGGGTTTCTGAGGGTTTATGGGAGCAGAAAACCTCATCTTTCTCTCGCAGAATGGCTGGTAGTTACGAACTGCTGACCTTGAGGTTAGCAGCCTGACTGATAACCACTACGCTACCACAACTCCTTACTAGTCATGTTCAGAACAGGACACAGCAAATGCTACCACTTCACACATATAACATGTATGTCTCATGTTCTCTTGCATACAAAGTGATTACACTGCCAGGTGTAAAACAGTACAGTACATATATACCCTATAATCCATGCCTGTGTTACTGGTTTATGTATGTACTGTGTTGTGCTTTCTATGTAAAAAGTCTACTGTGTGTGCTGTTGATTCCTAAGCAGCAGCATCCAGTCCATGTGTCACACATCTCTTAGATGTTAGAGTGTTACCGCTCTGTTTAACTCTGTCCCAAAAATAGGACCTTTGTGAAGTGTATCATGTCTCCCAAATGAAGCTAAATCAGTGCCAATGATAGCAGCCGCTAGAGGCAAAGGAGAAGTATTTGGAATTGAAGCAAAAGGTTATTTAACAACAAGAAGGTGAAAAATCAGTATGTGCCCTTGCTTGCGGTTATGTGTGTCATGCTCAACAATCAGGACAGTCCTCAAAAACAAAGAAAATTCTCCCAGCCATTAAAGAATTGGCTCCACTGAAAGCTACCAGGCTAATAAAAATGTATGAAAGACCCAGATAAGAGAGGGAGAAATTGCTAATGATATGGATAGAGTAAGGTCCAAACTTAAAAGCAAATCCCTTTCAACATGTTGATGATTGCTGCTCAGGTACAAAGCTTGTTTGAAATGCTTAAAGCAAAAGCAAGACAAGATTACACTGTGGCATGTTTGCACAATGTCCAAATTGCATAAGGTACTGTTTCGCAGAACCTATCCTGGATCTCAAGTGGCACCTGACTATGATAGATTCTTAGAGCTGAAGGCACCTACACTTGTCTCATATCCTCCTTTTGATTTTACAGGTGAAAAACGAAGGCCTAGATTGGTTAACATGAAGGGGCAAGATCAGGTTTTTAGGGTACCTGGGGTAAGGTTTGCCAATGAAATTCTTGTAACACAACCCTTGCTATCCTCAAAGAATAAGCAGGTCTTTTGTCATGCTCAACTTTCCTGACCTCTTTCTCAGCAATGCAGGTTTCTTAAAACTTCTTCCTAATAAGCCCCTGTGATTATCTTGTGTCCTTTGAGAAAGTCTATAAGGATTACCCCTTGGGAATCCCAAAAGACAGTGATTTATTGGTGTGGCGCTGTGGATTCATGTACTGGACTGCAAAGTTAGTTTGAACTGCAAGGTCGGCAGTTCAAGCTCACCAGTCGCTCTTTGGAAACCTTGTACATTGTCGTGATGGGTTGGAACCAACTCTATGGCAGTTAACAACAACAAATCTACCAATAAATTACATCATGATAAGTGGGGAAAAAACTATAGTTGTCAAAGACTTCATTTTTCTCAGACCTACTATCAACATTCATGGAAGCAGCAGTCAAGAAATCAAATGATGTATTGCTGCACAAGACCTTTTTAAAGTGCCAAGATAATCAGTTTGAGGTCTTTTCAGTCGTCTCATATGCATGTGTATGTATGTGCATGTAGAAGAACTGACGCACTTGAGTTAGGGTGTTGGAGAAGAATATTGAGGTACCACGGACTGCCAGAAGAACCAACCAACCTGTGTTGGAAGAAGTACAGCTAGAATGCTAGCGTGGCAAGACTTCATCTCTCAGACTTCCAACGTATTACCAGGAGAGTCCAGTCCCTGGAGAAAGACTTCATGCTTGGTGACCTGGAGGGTCAGTGAAAGAGGAAGGTCCCCAACCAGATGGATTGGCAGTGACAGCAGCAATGGCTTCAAGCTTGTCAACGATTGTGAGGATGGCACAGGACCTGGCCGCATTTCATTCTGTTGTGCACAAATGCACTATGAGTCAGAACTGACTAGGCGAGGACACCTAACAACAATATAACTTTGTGAGCTGACTTCTCTGCGTTGAATTGAACTGGCCCTGCAGATCCCCACAGAAGCCACTTTAATGTTTTGTTGTCTTTGACTTTTTATTGTGGATTGGGTGAAGGTTTAGAGAACAGGTGAACTTTCCATTGATCAATTCACACGTTTTTGTTTCATGTCATTGAAATCCCCACAATGTAAACGTCAACTTATCCCACTTCCTTCATATCCTTCCTGTTTACATTCCTTCTTACCTAATCCTGCTGAACTTTGTCCTTGGATAAACGCTGCCCTTCCGGAGCTCAGATGGTTGATTATTTTAAGGTGTGCTTACCTCCCTAGTGCTATTGTTCCTCTTACAGACTTGTCTGTTTGGTTGAAAATTGAGCCATGGGGGTGAGTTTATTTCCAGACCTGCAGGGGGATTCAAAACCATGGAATTGGGGTTCTGCCAGTGTCTAGCCCAACAGTTAGCCGGGTTTTTTTCTAACTTTTATTGTGAATTGAGTGGGGGTTTACAGATAAGATCATCCATCGGTTTTACAGTCAGCAAACCACACACCGTGTCATCTCAGTGACTGCAGGCCGCTCCTTGTCACAGTGGTTATTTCACTTCCTCCCTGGGGTTCCTATTTCCATTCCGCCCTCCTGCCTATCCCTTCTCAACTGTGTCCTTAGGAAAATGGTGCCCTTTTGGTTTTGAATGACCATCCCATGCTGAGCATACCCAGCTAGTGTTGTTTTCCTCCCTGTATGCCTATCTACTGCTTGGCTAACAATTGGCCCATGAGGGTGAGTTCCTTTCCAGACCTGAAGGGTAGTCAAAGACCATAGTCTCGGATTCTTCCAGTCTCTTTCTGACTAGTAAGCCCAATTTTTTTTTTTTTTTTTTATAATTTTGAGTTTTGTTCCACATTTTATCCCATTGTATCTGGAACCTTTGAATGTGATCCTTTTCAGAGCAGTTAGTAGCAGTAACAAGGCACCGTCTTGTTTTTCTGGTATGAGAGTCATTGATTTCAAGAATTGTCAATGCACATCACTCTTCTTTCTTCTGCACACGGAGAAACCAATAGTTGCACCTTAGATGGTCACAAAGAGCTCTTAAGATCAAGCCAGTTTTTGTTTTTTTAATGATTATGAGTTTTGGTCCAGGTTTATTTCTCACTCTATCCAGGACCTTTTAATGGGCTCCCTTTCTGGAAAGTTGGTAGTGGTAGCTGGGCACCATCTAGTTCTTCTGGTCTCCGTCGTGGAAACTGACCATTGCACTGATTGTTTTCCTGTGTCTTTGATTTTCTTCTCTCTTTTTACCTCAGGACAGGGAGAGATGGATAGTTGCATCTTAGATGACTGCTCATGAGCTTTAAAGATCCCAGTGATCACTCACCGGAGCAGGATGTAGAACATTTTTTTTGTGGACTGTGTTTACCAGTTTACCTTCGTGTCCCCCCAGCCATAGTCCTGGGTCCTGATTCATTCCCTTAAGGTGTTTGGTTGTATCTAAGAAGTTTTCATTACTTTGCTTCTTGTATGCTGCACCACATTCATGAGTATATTTGCAGCAATAGAAGTACAAGGGTTAAACCTTCCTGTATTTGTGGGTATACGTTCACTCTCCTTCCCACACCCATTCAGCCTAGGTATACATCCATGCATCTACTGGTAGTTCACTGTTACTGCAAGATTGTATGTTGTTGTTGTTAAGTGCCGTTGAGTTGGCTCTGACTCATATCAACCCTGTAAAGGGTTTCTTAGGAGTGGCTGGTGGGTTTGAACTGCCAACCTTGCAGTTAGCATTCCAGTGCTTATCCAACAGCACCACACCAGGTAGATATAACAGGATTTACCTCTATTGCCTTGAGTTCTTGCACTCCATTCACCTGTGTCTTCCCCTGCCACCATCACTTTTGCTAACCTTCCTCCTATTGCATATTGCCCTCCCCCTTTACCTCAGCTAACCCTTGTCTGCTCTCCCTTCCTCCCCACCCCTGGTAACCATCAACATATGTTTCAGATTGTTTTTCTTAGCATGATAACCTTTACGTAACAATAACGGTCTTATACTATATTTGTCCTTTGGTGATCGCCTTACTTCACTTAGCATAACGTCCTCCAGGTTCATCCATGTGTTTTGTGGATTCATCATTGTATTTGTGTACCATAGTTTGTTTATCCATTCTTCTAGTGAGAGGTGTTTAGGTTGTTTCCATGTTTCTGTTATTCTGAAGATGCAGCGATGAACACGGACGTGCATGTAGCTGTTGGTGTCCTGGCTCTTATTTCTCTAGAATACATCCCTAGTAATAGGATTGCTGGGTCATATGGTATTTCTAGTTCCAACTTTATAAGGAACGTCATACCATTTCCTATAGTGGTTGTACCATTTTACATTCCTGTGAGCAATGTGTGAGAGTTCCAGTCTCTCCACACCCCCACCAGCATTTGCTGTTTTCTGGCTTTTTGAATGTTGCTATAGTCCTGGTGTGGCGCTGTGGGTTAATGTGTTAGACTGAAAAGCCGTATGAACTGCAAGGATGGCGGTTCAAGCTCACCAGCTGCTCCTCAGAAACCCTTACAGGGTCGCTATGGGTCGGCATCGACTCGACGGCACTTCACACCAACAGCATAGTGCTAGGGTAAGCTGCTCTCTTGGTGTTGTGTTGATGCCGTGCATCTCTCTGATGGTTAATATTGCTACTCTTTCTTCATGGGTTTGTTGGCAGCCTGAATGGCTTCTCTGGTGAAGTGTCTGTATCTTCTGCACATTTTTAAATTGGATTGCCATCTTCTTGAGATGTTGAGGTTTTCTATGAATCTTACTGATTAGTCCCTTGTCTGATATATTGTTGCCAATTTCCCCGCCCCCAGGCTATGGGTTATCTTTGGTGAAATAATTTGAAGCACTTAAATGTTTAATTTTTAGGAGGTCCCTAGTTTGCCTTCTGCTGTTTGTGGTTTCTGTTATGTCTGACTATGTATTTCTGTCATTCTTTAAGCTCGTCCCTATATTTTCAATGATGATGTTTATAATTCTAGGTTTTACATTTAGATCTTTGATCCATCTTGAGTTTGTTTTGTGTATGGTGTTCAAAAGTGGTCCTGCTTCTTTCTTCTGCAAGTGAGTACCCAGTTGTGCCAGTGCTGCCTGTTTAATGAGGATTCCTGGTATGATGCTGTAGGACCATAAGGTCGGTTTGAACCACAGGGTTGGTGGTTCAAACTCACCAATTGCTCCTTGGAAACCCTATACAGGGTTCGGGGCTTGACAGCACTTAACAACAAGCTATTTAATGAGTTTTGAGGACTTCTGGGATTACTGTTTACATTAGACCTTTACTTTTTGAAGGCACTCTCAGGAGACTAAGACGACAAGTGTATTGCTGAGAGAACTTGTCTGCGGCACCCACTAATCACAGAGACCTGTTTAAACCTGTTTGTTTGGCATAAGCCTGCTCATGCATGGATTGGAACCCCAGCAGCAGTACGTCTTGACTTCCCTCATACACCCGCGTACTGTCAGAGTCACCTAGAAAAGGAGGGCTTATTATTTACACTGACAGAATGCACTGCCAACTGAGCAGACTTGTGTTTTCAGGCCAGAACCCCAGGGATGCTGAGGTGCCTTGAGACATTTCGGCAAGATTGGGTGGTGGGCAGGGCCCTGCTTTTTAAGAAATGTTTGGTACCTGAAACATAAAAGGAGGTGGGCTAAGACACCTCTGAGGCCAGGGCCCCTCTGGACAGCCTTGTTTGGTTCCGGGGTGAGATGTCCCATCATTCCCCATCAGGGAAGAAGGGGATTATTGAAATGTGGCGAATAAAGGAGGATATCACATGTACTAAACAACCTATATTGACAAGAATGGGACTGAGTGTCCATCTCCTTGGGGACTTTCTGAAAGAGCCTTCGTGGTGCAGTTATTAAAGCGTCCGGCTGATCAATGATAGGGTGATAGTTTGAACCCACCTGCCGCCATCGGGGGCAAATCTGTGAGAATCTGCTTGGTTCAAGATGGTGCTGGAAGCCGTAGGGTCACTGCTGCTTTGTCCTTTTGGGTCATTGTGAGTCCGAATCAACTTTCCAACAACAGGTGTTTGGTTTGGGGGCTTCTAATGCAGAGATCAGGGGAGAGCAGCCAGTGGGTACTCAGGCCTTATGTCTGTACTAATGGCAGACCCACTGTTTGCATCTTTGCATCACAATCCATGAGGACTTGGTGAGCAAACATGACTTCATGGGACATCTGTGATCCAGTTATCCCACAAGGCAGGCCAACTCGTTGTGGGGGACCCATGAAGCCTCTATTAAACAACCTCTCCAAAGAAAAGTCACATTAGAATCAACTGAAATGGAATTTGTTTCTAGGACATTAAAGTCTTAGATAGTCCAGGATGATAACCATTTCAGACTTATTAAGCCATCTCTTCTTCCCCCAGTACCCCGAAAGGGTTGGAAGCCAAAAGCCGAAGCAGCAAAAATGACCCCAAAGGGCGAGGCAGCCCGAAAGAGAAGACCCTGGACTGTGGTCAGATTGTCTGGGGCCTGGCCTTCAGCCCCGGGCCCTCTCCCCCGAGTAGGAGGCTCTGGGCACGCCACCATCCGCAGGTGCCAGATGTGTCATGCCTGATCCTTGCCACAGGACTCAACGATGGGCAGATCAAGATTTGGGAGGTGCAGACAGGTAGGTGCGGGCAGGAGAAGCTGGGGGCTGGTGTGCACGTGCTGATTCAGTAGTCTAGGGGTGAAGCAGTAACTGGTAGGCGGGGTGTCACCGCGCCACTGACCCGGAGCCCCTGCTCCCATGGTAGGGTTCCTGCTTCTGAACCTTTCTGGCCACCAAGATGTCGTGAGAGATCTGAGCTTCACACCTAGTGGCAGTCTGATTCTGGTGTCTGCATCTCGCGATAAGACTCTTCGCATCTGGGACCTGAATAAACACGGTATGTGATGGAACAGGATGGCTTGGCAACTTCAGAAGCATGCTGGTTACCCCTTGGAGTCCCTTACCAGTGCCCTTCCTTCCAGAACAAAGTCTCTCAACTCTTCTCCCCATTATCCCTTCCTAAGATATATTTTCTTAATCACCATCCCCTCCACTCCGTGAGATTTTAATACTACCAACCAACCCACCAACAATATCCACCAATAATACCCACCCACAATGCCCATTGCTGTCCAGTTGATGCCCACTCACAGCTACCCTGCAGGACAGCACAATGGCCCCGCTGAGTTTCCGGGGCTGTAAGCCTTTACAGAAGCAGGCTGCCTCGTCTTTCTCCACACAGTGGCTAATGGATTTGAATCATTCACCTTTCAGTTAGCATCCAAGCACATCAACCACTGTACCACCAGGGCTCTGTTTGAAGCCCACAGGTTTACTGACACCTGTGTATATACTCAGTGTGTACCTGTGGTTTGTATACACACACACACACTGTCTTAGTTATCTAGTGTGGCTAGAACAGAAATACCAAGTTGGGTGACTTCAACAAACAAGAACTCTGTCTTCTCATACTTTTAGAGGCTGGAAGTCCAGATTCTGCATGCCCACTCAAGGGGAAGGCTTTCTCCTGTTGAGGGCTCTGGAGGAAGGTTAGCATCTCTCTCAGTTGCTGCTGCTCAGCTGTCTTCACGTGGTGTGGCATCTCCCCTCAGCTCTGTTTCTGTGTTGTTGTTGTTAGGTGCCATCAAGTTGGTATTGACTCATAGAGACCTTATGCACAGCAGAATGAAACACTGCCCGATCCTGGGCCAACCTCACTATCATTGCCACGCTTGAGCCCCGCTTGTTTAATTTCTTCTGTGCCTCACAAGACATTGACTCAAGTCATGCCCTACACTAATCCTGTCTCATGATAAAGACAGCCCAGTCCCAAGTGGAATTGTCATCACAGGCATACAATCCTCCTGCCATCGAGTTGATTCCCACTCATAACAACCTTATATTGGGTTTCCAAGACCATAAATCCTTACAGGAGCAGATAGCCTCATCTTTTTCCCACAGATCAACTGGTGGGTCTGAACTGCCAACCTCAGTTAGCAGCCCAGTGTTTATCCTGCAAGTGCCACCAAAGCTTCTTAATCACAGGTATAAGCTAGGATTTACAGCGCATTTTTGGAAGGACATAATTCAATCGCTAACATACCCCAATAACTCATTTTTACCCCTCTTCTTGACCTAATACTCCCCGATGAAAGGAACAATTTAGAGCGGGTTGGCAGTTCAGACTTACACAGAGGTGCCTCAGAGGACAGACCGGCAATGGGCTTCTGACAGGTCACAGCCTGGGAAACCCTGCACATGGGGCGAGGCCATGAATCAGGGTCGACTCAGGAGCAACAGTAACAATACAGACACGCATGTGCACATACATCTAGCGTTTGAGGGTCATTTTGTGAAATCAACAATGGAATCATGATGTTTTTTCCATTAAACAATGACCCTTGAAAAATCTGTAGGTCTTATGCCATGAGCATCAGAGAACTGGATATACCGTTTGTTCAGCCATTCCCCCTGAATGAACATTCTGTTTTTCTACAAACTCAGAGACTGTGTGATCCTGGTTGTACCGTGAGTACACCCAGTTTGTGTGGCCCCAGGGCATGTGCCCCAGTGACTGCACACCTCATCGGGACATCCTGGCAGTCCAGGGAGGAGGGTGCGGGTCTGGGATGGGGGCACTTGTGGTGATAGGGTGACTACTGCCAAGGAGAATGCTGAAGGGGAAATTGTCCCAGGACCGGGAGGGCTGCTTCCGAGTCCCTGAGGCCAGGATGCTGAGACAATGTTCTCTGCTGTTAATGTGCATCAGCTCTCCTCTTTGGCCGGTTTTTGACAGACTGGGAGGTAGTCATTTCCCTTGGGCATTAGAAGAGCGCTTCAGTGGGTTTCAGGTATGATAATGACAAGTCCCGAGCTATCTCTTTCCGTGTTAAAGGTGAGCTTTAGGCTCTGGTGGCGCTATAGGAAAAGCACTGGACTGCTAACCACAAGGCTGGCCGGTCTAATGCTTCAGCCCCTCCGAGGAAGAAAGATGAGGGTGCCTGCTTCCAGAAAGATTGGCAGTCTCAGAAACTAAATATAGTTTCAGAATCAACTCAGTCGCAGTGGGTTAAGTGGTTTTTTATTTTATTTTGGCTTCAGGTAGGGAGCCCTGGTGGCACAGTGGTGATAGTGCTTGCCTATTAACTGAAAGGTCAGTGGTCCAAACCTGCCCCGTGGCAGCCTGTTTCCCTGAAGATTGAGAGCCTTGTAAACTCTCAGGAACAGTTCCAGTCTGTCTGTAGGGTGGCGGTGAGTTGAAGTCATCTCAGCAGCAGTGGCCTGGGGTTTCGGCTAGTGGAGAACCAGGTGGTGGTACTGGGTGGGTGCGGCATTCCTACCAGGCTTCTGTCTTCCTGCTTTGCCACTTTCAAGGTTGGCTCACCATTTGCTACTTTTTTCCTATTAGGTAAACAGATCCAGGTGTTATCAGGCCACCTACAGTGGGTATACTGCTGCTCCATCTCTCCGGACTGCAGCATGCTGTGTTCTGCAGCAGGCGAGAAGTCTGTAAGTCTCAAATGTTGAGTGCTATATTTTCTATGGCTTTGGGGTCTGTGTAAGAGTGTAAATACACGGAGTGTCCTCAGAGTCTTATTTCCACATCAGCCCCAGCAGAAGGCACTGGTGGCCCTGGTCTCTCCTGCAGACTCCCTTTGGACTTACACTTTAATAGGAACCCAAAGAGAGGCGGTATTTGTAAGGAGGTCGACCCCACCATCGGAGGACTGTGTGCATTTACAAGTGGTCAAGGGGCTATGCTTTTACTCTCCTATTCACTGGGAGTCTGAGGTTTCAAAAGTGGCACCCCACAGAGAAGGCAGATTTCCTGTGAACAGTAATCATTTCATTTAGTTGTCCTGTTCAACTCAGAGAATGTGTACAGTTCACTTGCTGACCTTTGCTCTGAAATCCTGTCTGTGTCAGAAGCCAAAGCACCATTTGGGAGCAGGTTGTGTGTGTTTAAATATTGTGTTTCCATTGAGGCGTTCACTGTGACTAACTTGGGGCAGGTGAGAGTTCACTATTTGCTACAGCCCAGTTGGTTAATCATACATTTGAGGTTTGGAACTCAGTGAAGATGAGTTATTTTAAAGGAAATAGAAGAAAATCTTACTCTTCTTTGAGTGTGTGTGTGTGAGACAGAGAAATGTCACCCTACTTTTTGTTGTGGTTGTTAAGTGCCATCGTTCAGTTCCTACCCATAGCGACCCTATATAGGGTTTCCAAGGAACAGCTGGTGAGCTCGAACTGGCGACTCTGCAATTCATACCAACCTGCAGTCCAGTGCACCCCAGGACTTTTGGGTTTAAGTGGAGCAGGGAAAGGACAGCAGTTGGCATAGGTCTTAGCAGCACTTGCTACTCAACGTGCAAACAGAACTCGGTACATCATAGCCACAGTCTCTCTTGTGGTCGGCCTTGGGAGATACCAAGAGTTAGAAGAGATTCAGTAGCAACCAGGTTAGGGTAAGTAAGCTCCGAGAGCATGTCCACTGGTTCAAGCCTACAGAGTCATCTACACCTGTGATACTAATTAAATTTGGCAGAACATTGAAAAGGGGCAGAGGGAACTTCACCTGGCCCAGGGGCAGCGGGACTGTAGGGGGAAACGCGGGTGGTGCCTTCCCTTACTTGTTGAAGCTCGTGGTTCTGACCCCTCACATGGGCCCGTTGCTTTCCAAGGTCTTTCTCTGGAGCATGCGGTCCTACACATTAATTCGGAAGCTGGAGGGCCACCAAAGCAGTGTTGTCTCTTGTGACTTCTCCCCTGACTCGGCCTTGCTTGTCACTGCTTCTTACGATACCAACGTGATCATGTGGGACCCCTACACCGGCGAGAGACTACGATCACTCCGGTAAGCACCCCACCCCTGCTTACAATGGCCTTGTGGAGTGACAGATGAGAAACGCATCCTGGGTCAGACCAGTGTCTCCGAGTCTGCGGCCTGAGGCAGGATGGCAGTAGTAACAGGACGCAGACAGGCTAGGACTGTCTCACAAGCTTATCCTCAGGCAGGCGTGTGCTTGTCTGTCCCATTGTGACTCACTTTGAATGGAGTGGCAGTGTCTTGGTGTCTCCCCATCACGAAGGCTGTGTGTGCACATCCTGGGGGTCAGGCTCATGACTCTGAATTTCCATTTACTAACGACCATTCTTACAAGTTCAGAACTGTCCTGCTCTCCAAAGTTATCACTTCCAGAATGAATGTTCGAGCTCTCAGACTTGGTCTCCTTTCCCCCTGGTCTCCGTCTTAAGAAGCAGCATCTCAGGCTAAGAGTTTCTGTGTGTACTGTGAGGGCTGACTTGTTTGCTAAAGGAAATGAGCACAGGGAAGACTTGGTAACCTTCCACCCCACTGCCAGGTGCTAGGAGCTTCTGAAGAGCTCTTCCCCAAGTCTCCTGTAGCTTCTTCATGAGGGGCATGGGTGCATCTTGAGTCTCTTCAGAGTTGGGTCTCCTGCCTGGAGGTGGGATGAGCGTAGGCACCTGCAGACCTCCCATGCCGTTTCTTTACTTCTCAGCCACACCCAGCTAGAGCCTCCCATGGACGACAGTGACGTCCACATCAGCTCACTGAGATCTGTCTGCTTCTCTCCTGAAGGCTTGTACCTTGCCACAGTGGCGGATGACAGGTGAGAAGTCTGCTCAGCCCCAGCATTGCTCACATAGCCTGGCCCCACGCTGATTCTGGTATCAATGTGTGTCTTTCTTGTCCAGACTCCTCAGGATCTGGGCCCTGGAACTGAAAACTCCCATTGCATTTGCTCCCATGACCAATGGTCTTTGCTGCACCTTTTTTCCACATGGTGGAGTGATCGCCACAGGGTACGTGTTATTTGAACAGATGGGTTGCAGTTCTGTTGTGCGGGCCATAAGAGTTTTGTAGGGAAGGAAGGTAACTGGAATCTCTGTGCCAATGTGGTAGCTTCTAAGGGCATCCAACATTATGTCAAATTCTGATACTCCATTTCGCCAATATGGTGGATCATTTTCTCTTAATATTTGTTGTGCTGTTGAGTTGGCTCTGACTCCTAGTGACCCTGTATAGGGTTTTCAAGGAGCAGCTGGTGGGCTTGAGATGCTGACCTTGTGGTTTGCAGTCCAGTGCTGATCTTACAGCGCCATACCAGGAGTGTTAATATTTAGCCTACACGTAATGGAAGAGTTACAATTCATTGCACCTCATGAGCCAAGTCCACCAGAGGGCGTAATTAAGAATTGACACGGGAAACCCTTTATGGCAGATGGCACTTTCCCTGTCACAATTGAACTAGTAGTCTGATTTTGAGAGGCATGTGCTCATGGAGACTGTGCATAGACTTCAGGTGTCTCAGGGTCTTCTAGTTAGCCAGCAGTGCAGCCCCGGCCTCCATTTCCAGGCAGGGTTGCCTTTGACTCTTGGAGTCCCCTTGATATTCAAGCCAAAGCAGAAAGTCATAGGTGTCACCATGAAAACCCACTTCTAACATGTCTCTGCTCACTGGATTCTCCTGTTTCAGGACAAGAGATGGCCACGTCCAGTTCTGGACAGCCCCTCGGGTCCTCTCATCACTGAAGCACTTGTGCCGAAAAGCTCTCCGCAGTTTCCTGACAACTTACCAAGTCCTCGCACTGCCAATACCCAAGAAAATGAAAGAGTTCCTCACATACAGGACTTTCTAAGCAATGCTGCTCAGAGGCTTAACGTGCTCTTTCTCGCAGGCTAAGGCCTCCTGGCTGAAAGTAGCTGGAATAGTGGGCCAGGCATCTGGTCTTGGGTTGAAACACAAATTCTGTTTGGGACTGTGACTAGAATGTAGCAAAACCAGATTCCAGCGGATCCATCCTGCCTGAGTTTTTCTCTCTGACCTGTGAAAGGTAGTCCTGGAGTGGATTCCAGCCCCCGAAGTCTGAGTGCACTCACACCCAGCAACGCTGGACTCTTTCTTATCCTTTTGATTCTAAGTGCAGTTATTGATGTTGTTCTGATAAGAAAGTAACGGCCCAGTAGCCTCTCTGTAGTGGCAGAGTTTAAGTTCCCTCATCGGGAAAGGATGACTTCTGCCCTGGCCAATGCTGCCATTCTCAAGTACAGCAGGAACTGTAAACAAGTTAAACACATTCTGTCCTGCTGTGGTCAGCTGCTTTCCTGTTGACCAGTGCTTTCCTTCTTCTGGCGTCCCCCTGACCAACAGACCACAGGATTCAGGGAGCCGTTTGGTGTATTAGCTGAAATAATTACAGGTGAATCATGGGGGTGTGCTCTTGCCTGGTAAAGACACTATTACTACTTAACAGTGGTGTGCATGTGCAAGGTTTAACACATTTGTGTAAGATTACAAAAGGATGTATCTCAACTGCATGCCCTTTAAATGGCTGCTGACTTTTCAGTTGTTGGCTATTAATTAGCATATTTATTTGTATTTTCTCAACAGATGTTAAGGTACAACTGTGTTGTTTTCAATGGTATCTAAAAACCAGAGTCCTGAAGTCCAACAGTTGCGCTGTCTCTTTAATTGTGCAGAGAATTGGTGTTGTCACTTTAGCGGACGTTCTGATGTATGAGCTATGAGATCTGTCTTTGCTGCTTAACCTCACTGGACTTATCAGCCAGTTTCAACTCTGTCCCCTGAGCCCCCCTAACAGTCCTGTCCCCCTTCACTGGCATAGCAGTCCAGGTAAGATGCCTAGTCAAGCAAAATCTGCCTTTGGAAACTTAATATATTTGAAAAGAAATGCAACATCACGTATCCTTTGGCTTTCTTCATGGGTCTTTATGGAGGCCAGAAAATTGTATTAGATGGCCAAGTAAGTACAGAACTCAGCTCTCCACACCTTTGTTGTTGAAGAAAAACTTTTCTTTTCAAAAGGAGAGGCTTTCATTGAAGGGGGTAAGGGAAAGAAAGGAAAAAAAAAACAAAAACAAAACTCCTGGCTCTGTTTCTTTTCTTCTCCATTATGGAAAAAAAAACCCAAAAAACAAAAAAACACAACCCATTTCTTAAAACAAGGAATACAAGACAGCTGGGAATGAACAAACTTGGCTTGTGATGGTTATTTTGAAATGTGGCATTGTACTGCCCGAGACCCCCAGATGCCTTCCTAGTGCGGCCCCACTTGGCCTTATGATAGCAAACCACATGTGAGGAGAATAACCCATCTTTCCAGAGACTCTTGACACCTCCTGCAGAAAGTGCATTCTGTGATTTCAGAAAGGAAGATGGCTCATGGAGTCCAAGTTGAGTACATTAGCATCGTAACTGGCTAAGGAAACATCACTCTGACACAAGCAAACCTTATATTCCTTTTAATTGTGAAGAATGAACATAAATGCAGTGAAACTGCTGTATGAATAAACTGCTAAACTTGAACACAAGTGCCAGTAATTTTAGCAGTTCTAGGTTTAGCATCGGGCTTCATCTCTTATGTCCCTGAGTTAATAAACAAGTGAGCTTTGAACCACCACTGGCCCAGGTGGCAAAGCTGAATGGCTAACTCTGCTTTATCTTAAAGGAGATTTGGGTTTCCCAGTCTACCCCAAGAAGCTGCGGATAACTCTGTGAGAGGAGAAATCAAGTCCCATTTTAAAAGTAAGAGAATGGTTATCTATTTTATAAGAGTAGACTAGTCTTAGCCCATACCTTAAGTACGTACAGACACAGTACCAAGATTATAGAGATGATTTTGAAGATCTTGTTTACCTAGAGTTGAAAACACAGGGACCATGTCAAACTTGTAAGCCATATGTTCCAAACCAAAATGGGCTAAGGCCAGTTTCCTGTCACATCATCTCAGTAAAAGCTGACAGATTTTTTTTGTGAAGACCAGTGCACAACCTAGTAAGACAGCAGTGCGTGAGAATGGTCTTGTCCATCCCAACTCCAAAATGCCTCAAACACAGTACTTTTTAAAGTCTGCCCACCCAAGCCTGGAATGGTGTTTTCTAAGACTTGGGGTGGCTGGGGCTTCATCGCTTTGGTGCAGGGCAGCATTTCGTCCCCTGGACCTAGAAGAGTGTGGTGGGCAGGCCCGGCATCTAGGCCTGCGCAACAATCAGGTCTCTGGTAACCTGGAAGGCAGCAATGAGGGAGCTCAGCTGAATCTTCTCATTGGTGCCGAGAGAAAGCCTGTACCTGAGAGATGGAGCAGGAGGTGAGAATACAGCCCACGACAAGGAGATGGATGTCTCTGACAAGGCAGCATCAGGGATCAAAGTCTGAACAGCTTCTGTGTGTCCTCTTACCTTCTTCCCTGCCCCCCCACACAGCTTTTTAAACATGATTCAGACTCTTGAGGAATAAGTATCAGCTATCAGTGGTGTTCTCAAGGTCCCTCTGTTCTTAGTGCTTGGATAGAATTGATGTAGTTCAGGATTATAAAGACATTTGGCTGGCATTGTGTCTGACATCTATGATGCTGCGTCTAGTCTGAAGAGCCGCTGAAGGCAAGAATCACATATGCATGCTGTGGTGAAAGGTTCACAGAAATGAGCGTGCCTGTGTTGACACATTGGAACCCAATGCTGTGTCTCCTTCAATGACAGCTGCCCGCTCCACTGGTGCTAATCATAGTGTTTACTGAACTGGGCAAAGTGGAAAATTGGGTTTATGTTTTATTTCCCCCAATATGCTTTAGGATGCCAAAATGCCTTATTAACATCTGGATGGTTGGTCGTCCCCAAATGACCTAATGTCGAACACTGAAATCTGACAGAGATAGGCCTCCCTGATAACAAATGAATGCTCCAAGTAAGCAAGAGCCATGCTCTGCATGTCTAAAGAGAGACCACAGTCTTTGACTCGGTTCTTGAAGAGACTCCCTCCCCCACGTCTCATTCAGTAATACCGCCAGGAACCAGGTTACATAGTTGATGAGCGATTTGAAACAGAACAACAGAAGCAAAGGAGCAGTACTAAAAGCCCAAGACACAAAAAAGGACAAAAGATGGGAAATTAATACTCACTCGATGTCTGCCATTTTGGTCAATAACTGTATTCGAACTGAAGATGGAAAGTCGACTGAGGAGAAAACAGAATCAAATGAGCAAGGGGTGTCAATCCATCCCAAAATCAAAACCTACCACCGAAGCCCACCGACACTGAACTTCTCTTGACATCCCTGCTTATCACTAGATACCACACTTCTAAGAAAGCACAGATGGTGCAGTTAGTTTTCCGCTGTGATTCTTCATAGTATAGAGCACAAAAGAAAACACAAAGAAACCAGCTTCCAAAGAGACTGTAAGGGCCAGGAACTCCTTGACACTGCTCTGCAAATGGGATAGCAAGTTCACAGCTTGAAAGCTGAGTTCACACTTGCTGTCCCAGTTTTAAAAACAACTGACTGTAAATCAGTTCATCCTCGGCTCCCACGATCAAGGGGCAGAGTGGGGTTTGAGCTGCCCAGAATCTGGGGTAGAAGTGAGCACTTTAGCCAGCTGTGAAGAGCCGGGGAGTCTGAGACAACACTGCTGCCCAAGTCCCCCCTAAGAGGTGGCTAGAACTGCTCAAGGTGAGTCCTGTGAGCTCCCCAGCTGAGAACCAGCTCTCTGGAGGCACACAAGCAAGTGTGAGGCTTAGTGAAGACTCCTTTTGCTTTCCATGAAGACAGGCTTTCCTCCTCCCTCTTCTACTTTTGGGTAAAACATTCTAGAAGAATGTAAAAAAATTTAAGATTTTTTTCACTGTAAAATACAAAACCCCGGGGAAACGTTAGCCTTTAGAAGTTTCTTTGTACTCTATTCCCAGCAATTCTAGAAAGTTTAAGGAGCATTTAGGAATAGAGTTTTCAACAGCAGCAAGAGAGAACTACTAAAAATGGGTCAGATGTACGCTGCTGCATCCCTGCTTCTTGGGGTGAAGCTGGTGTTCCCTTTCTCATCCCCCTTAGTCTCAAGTCTGCCACCTGTTCCACAGCTCCCCCACCCTCCTAGGGGCAACGGAAGTTACCTCTGTGCACAAATAAGTGTATCTCTGTCAGGATGTCCTGCAGTGCCAACCCCTTCAGTGTTTTCAAAGCCGTAATATCTAGAGAAGAGCAGTTAAGGCACAGGGAACAAGTTCTTGAACAGATACATTGCAGAGGATTTTGAACACAAAATGAAGACAGTTTGAGTTCGTAGTAGGCCCTGATTCTTCAGTACGGGCTTTTTGAAAGATCCAGTTTCTCCAGTAGAGAAAACAGAGCCAAGTGCGTTCCCAAAAAGGCTTCATTCCACTACAGCTCGTATTTCAGCTCATGGCAAAATGAGTCCCACCGGCCACTTTAAATGAAGGCATATTCCCTCCCACAGCCGGAGGGCTGGGTTTGCTTCTGTAAGGGAGGCTGCCTCAAGCTGGGCCGAACTTGAGAAAAGAACCCACTCCACCTCCAAACACCCTGCTCCCATGACAAGCCAGCAAGGGGTGGGTGCTGACTGCAGCCTGTGCTCTGGGGGTGCCCCAGCCCACTGTTGGGAGGACCTGGCATAGGATACTCCTATAGGCTGTGGTAAAGTCCTCATTCAGCATCCAGTCCAGGATGTTGGCAATGTCTGACTTGAGCGGGTGCCCCGTGCAGGTGTACACAGTCTCCTCGGTCACCTTCCCAAAGGCCATGTTGGTGCTCTGTGCGGGCGGGAAGAAGAATGGCATTGTCACAGCTGAAACTGCTGAGGCAGCAACAGGAGTGTGTGTGTGTGTGTGTGTATGTGTGTGTGTGTGAGCTGGATTTCAGAAGTGACACCTTGACTATACCAGAACTTCACTTGTGTGTGTGTGTGTGTGCTGGATTTCAGAAGTGACATCTTGGCTATACCAGAACTTCACTTGGGTCTTTCCAGAAAAACTTCCAGGTAGTCGTTCAAGATTTGCCACAAGGAAGACTGTACCTGCAAAATGTTCACTGCCCTTCTATACCAGAAATTCACTTGGGTCTTTCCAGAAAAACTTCCAGGCAGTCGTTCAAGATTTGCCACAAGGAAGACTGTACCTGCAAAATGTTCAGTGCCCTTCTCATATCGCCACTGGATAGCGTTACAAGCGCTTTCATGCCGTCGTCACTTATATCAACTCTGAAAGACAACAGGAGTCAGCCAACCCAGGAGAAGGCACACATTCACCAGGGGAACCAGATGAGCTGGAATAATGAAGGAAGAATGCAGTGGGCACTCTCCTGATCTATCCAACCAAGGACTCCCAGCAGATTGTAAGGACTCGGGCTTCAGGCAAGCAAACAACAAACCCAATACTGCCCAGTCGATCCCAGCTCACAGCAACAGAGCAGAACTTAATGGAAGCAGATGGCCTCATGTTTCCAACAGAGCAGCTGGTGGATTTGAACCACTGACCTTGGGGTCAGCAGCAAGCACTTTAACCATCACACCACCAGGGCTCCTAAGCAATGACGGTCCACTCAACATCTTTAAGACTAAGTGCTACTGTGTTGAGGAACTGATACAAGTCAATCTCTTGGTGAGGCCATCCCAATACCATAGCCCTGTGTTCAAAACCAGCTGTAGGTCTGGGCAGCCACTTGCAGGCAAAGCCTCTGAACCATCCCTTCTAGTCCAAAAAGCAAGCAGAATCATGTTAGCAGAAGGGACTCAGTGACATGCAGTTTCCAATGACACAAGAGTAGGAGGCAGTTGGGGCCATTTCCAGGGGAGGAGGGTGGAATCAAGAAAAATCCCGAAAAGAACCAGATGACTTTTCTGAGGAAGAAGAAGAGGGAGACAGCAGAAGACACAAGCTCAGCTAACAGACCCCGAGGCACACCCTGTGCCACCTCATTTAAAGAAGAAAGGGCATCAGTTCAACCACTTACCTTACACCTTACTCCTGACACCCTTAACTTTGCTGTTTTTTCAGAGTACTCACTTCTCTTCTCCCACAACGTGTTCCAAGCGGGGGACCATCAGCTCAGGAGTCAGGGGACCAAATCGGAACCTTGTACACCGTGACTGCAAGGCGGGGATGATCTTCGACAGATAGTTACAGATGAGGCAAAATCGGGTGTTTTCAGTAAATTTCTCAATCACTGGCAAGGAGAAATGAAACGACGTCAGGTCTAAGTCCATCCCGATTCTTCAGGGGACACAGGAACCCACATCGGGAGTATAGGAAAAGACTGGGAAAGGAGGCAAACACGTGTGCAGGCTGCCTGCCACTAAAGAGGGTGCCACTGGGGTATTCAGGATTGGGGGTCAACCGCCCCCTTTTCAAGGCTGACAAACACGTTCCCTCTGCAAGATTTCATTAAAGGCTTCCTTTTTTAGAACTGGCCACGATCCCATTACTCTGACCGTTGCATTCCACCCCATCAATCACAAATGCCTCCTTTTCTTTAGGATTGGCCAGGATTCAAGCACTCTTTTCATTTCATCCCATTCAAATATGGGGCCCAGCCTTCCTGTCCTTTTGCAAAGAATTGGAGGGTTGGTGCGGTGCTCCACCTACTGTGCATGGAGACAGACAGCTTTTTGCAGAGTCTACAGTGAGCATCCTCAGGAAGCCAGAGAACACTCCAGAGAGCAATAACCTGAATTCAGAATTGCTTAGAACACCAGTTTCACTTAGTAGGAACCCGGTATTCCACTCTGGGAGATGCCCAGACTGACAGTCCCTCCACAGAACAAGAAGCCAAAGAAAGGCTGCCAAAACTGCTAGGATGGAGAGATCCTAGGACCTGTGCTTTAGCCATCCCAAAATTCTTCTCGTGGCCAGTTATCCTCAGCATCCTCAAAGGGTGATTACCAATGTCCTTGCTTGCTGAAACCAAACAAGACTTAGATCACTTGCTGATGACAATAAAACACTATAGCCTTCAGTATAACTTACACTTCAACATCAAGAAAACAAAAATCCTCACTGCTGCACCAAAAAGTAACACCAAGATAAACAGACTGAAGTTGTTAAGGATTCATTGTACTTGGACCTACAATCAACACTCATGGAAGCAACAGTGGAGAAACAACAGATTGCACTGGGAAAATCTGCTACACAAGACCTCTTTAAAGTGCTCAAGAGCAAAGGCGTCACTGTGAGGACTATGGGGCTCCTGACCCAAGCCTATCGCAGTACATTTGGGTTTGGGTTTGGACCCAAGCCATGGTATTTTCAGTCATCTTATATACATGTGAAAGCTGGACAATGAATAAGGACGACTGAAGAACTGATGCCTTTGAATTAGGATGTTGGTGAAAGATTCTGAATACATGCACTGCTGGAAGAACAAATTAACCTGTCTTGAAAGAAGTAGAACTGGGATGCTTAACAGAAACAAGGTTGGTGAGACTCTCTCATATACTCTGGGCATGTTATCTAAGAGGGACCAATGTCTGCAGAAGGGCATCATGCTTGGCAAAGTAGAGGGTCAGTGAAAATGCAGACTCTTAAGGAGATATTGTTGACACAGTAGCTACGGCAGGATCAAACACAACATCAATTGTGAGGATGGCACAGGACCAGTCAGGGTTTCCTTCTATTGTACGTGGGGTCTCTGAGTTGGGACTGACTTGATCGCATCTAACAATACCACCCATGTCCTTTTGGAGAATTTTACTGCACTGCTCCCCGACCCTCTGTAAGCCTCTCCAGGGGCTGAGACAAACACACTGGATACTCTCCCTTCCCCAACAAATTACCCTTTTGGTAAGCAGTGAAGAAAGGCCAGCTTTCTGTGGGGCAAACTTCAGGCATTACTGACCCAGTTATTTTGTATCTAAGGCTAGAACAGAGGGTCTACCCAACACATTTAGGAATGAAAGACTTTCCATTCCTTCCAAATGATCACCAATTCTCAGCCCTGGAAATGAGTCCCGCTGAGGGGATCCAACACCAGTGCTCATGTGGTCATGCTGAGCAAAGAGGAGCCCCCCGCCCCCCCCATGCAGAGGAAGACTTGGGGAAAAGTAGAGAGAGCTCTCTGGGCCAGGGGATGGAACAAACCAACATATAAACAGTGTCCTTCAGACGTTCTTCCCAGCTCAGCTTACCTCTCCTCAGGGCATTCTGGGCGTCTTGAGTCATAGCATCAGCTTCATCCAAGATCACTAGTTTAAAGCCTTTCCTAGGAGAACCAAGAGTACCTGGTAAAGACCTCTGCCGCTCTCAACTGCCAGGCCAGCCTTCAGCTCCTCACATGCCACGTGAGTCCTTCCCAAAGTCTGACCACAGTAGACAAGTGTAGTCAAGGAGAAAGGAACTGCCTCAGCATGCCCTTGACCCTTGGTGGGTGACACTGTATCTTCTGACACCCTTTCCTTGCTTTGCATAGTCTCCTATGACTTTTTCCACCCCCTTCATCCATGCTTGTGTTTCATCTCTTTATAACCATCCTACAAAGCATGCCCCTCTTAATTCATTTTCGTTTCATTTCAAACTAGCTCAGCCTTAGAATGCAGAAAGTCCTTAGTTAACTAGTAAAACGAAGTTCAATGCTAAATAACTTGCTAGAGTCCTAGTGTGGTGCTGTAGGATAAGCACTGGACTGCTAACCACAAGGTCTGCAGTTCAAACCTACCAGCTGCTCCCTGGAACCCTGTGTGGTTGGTTCCAACTCATATATAGGGTTTCCAAGAAGCAGCTGGTAAGCTTGAACCAGCAACCTTGTGGTTCAAACCTACCTTACGGCCCAGTGCTTTATCACAGTGCCCACAGGGCCACACCAGGATAAACTGGTTGTTGTTGTAGTTAAGTGCCGTCGAGTCGGTTCTGTCCCATAGCGACCCTGTAACAGGGTTTCTGAGGGTGTAAATCCTTACGGGAGTAGAAAGCCTCATCTTTCTCCTGCGGAGCAGCTGGTAGTTTCGAACCACTGACCTTAAGGTTTGCAGCCCGATTCTTAACCACTACGCTACCAGAGCTTCTTAGGATAAACTGATAGAGGGGAGGATTTAAACACTGAGCTGTATCATCTCACAGGTCAAAATCTCTACAGACCTGGAAGGGCATTCTGTGAGTGAAAGAAATCGATCATAGAAGGATAAATAGTGTATGAAACCGCTGGTATAAAAAGTCAAGAGAAGGTCTTCACAGGAAGAGAAACATTCTTGGATAGATCTTAGGGCTGGAAGGTGAAGGGAGGGTAAATGACTGACTAGAAGGTGGTCATGGTGGTGGTGTGCCACTGAGTCAGTTCCAATTCATAGCGACCCTGTACAGAGTTTCTGAAGCTGTAAATCTTTAGGGGAGCAGAAAGCCCCATCTTTCTCTTGTGAAGCGAATGCTTAACCCACTGTTCCACGTTCGCACCCCAATGTGTAACCCACTATCCTACCGAGGCTCCTTGACTAGAGGACAAAAGATGTAGCAAGCAGCTGCAGAAATCCAAATGAGGAAAAGGGTGCCTTTGACCCTAGGGGAGTCCCCCGGAGGAGGACAGCCGTGGGTGGGTTCAGATGCACTGTCGGGTGGACTGGCTGGTGCATCAGTTTGGAAGTCGGAGGGGAACCAAGGAATGAGAAAGCAGTCGTGGCAGCCTGGGTGGAGGAACTGGACAGACAGTGTAAAGTACCAAAGAGGCCTTCAGACATTGCCCACCGATTACTTAAGAGACCATTCATTCACAATATACTCTCTCATCTTAGCTGCTCTCAGTCTCACATCTTTCAGCTATAAAATAAAGATATAATTTAAAAGTATTTTTTTAATGCAAGATAAATAGGAGAGGGCATAAAAAAGTTTGGGGAAAAGTGGAATTAAAGAAGAATGGAATTTTTCTCTAACTTTTGGAAGCCCCCCTGTACTGTATATAATAACAACAACAACCTCTAGAGAGAAAAATCCAAGTAATTCTTACTTGAAGATTGTCCTTGTGCTAGCAAAACTCAGGATTGGCCCTCGGACAATATCGATTCCTCGGTCATCCGAAGCATTCAGCTAAATGTGGGAGAGAGAAGGTAAACGTAAAAAGCCTGTTGGTGTGCCATCAATCAATTCTTGGTTTATGTGTATCTTTTCTTCAATCCAGTTCAGTGAGTTAGGTCTCTGGAACTAATGACAGCTAAGAAGGCATCATTAGTCACACACACACACACACACACACACACACAATTGTAGTGCAACATCAAAACTCACTACATGTCCATTCAATTCTCAAAGCACTTTATGAAAATGCTCTCCCAGCCATCTATCAAAGGAATCTTTTATTGGCCCAGTCACTGCAGGTACCTCTGGCAAGTGCAACAACATACTAATTTTACCTACAACAACACAGCCCAGCCCAGAGGTTACCAAATTGTGAATATGTTGAAGTGGCAGCAAACTTCTGACAATCCACATCTAAATAGTAATTATGTTGGCATTTTTTTTCCCTTGCAACAGACAACAGGAGTATTTTTATCATCTGTAAGTTGAAGAGCCCACAGTAAACAGATGGCACACTCAACTCCAATTGTTTGAAGAGAATTAGAATATTTTTAAAGGTGCTGGTGGGGTGGGGGAAATGCAGTATCTTGGGGACTACTGGGGCCCCACTAAGGAGCTCTGAAGAGTTAGGCGCTGGACTGTTTACGCTCACACCCATCAGCAGCTCTGTCCCTATAACTATGCAGTCTCAGAAACGCTCCACCAGGTTGCTATGAGTTGACATAGACTCAATAGCAGGGTTGTGTTTTTCCTTTTATTGGGACCCTGTTATCAAACCTGGAAGGGGCAGGAGAATGATAGCGGTAACCTACTCTAAGGTAGGAGTCCTGCTGTGGCGCTGTGGGTTAATGCGCCAGACTGCAAAGCCATTTGAACTGCAAGGTTGGTGGTTCCAGCTCACCAGCTGCTCCCCGGAAACCCCATACAAGGTCGCTATGGGTTGGAACTGACTCAATGGCACTTAACAATAACTATAAGGTAAGGACATTGTCAGCTTGTGGTGCTCTGCAAGCCGAGAGGGTCACACTTGATTCTCCTCCTTTCTCTAGCTTGTTAGGGCCCCCGATTAGCCAAACCCAACCAGGAGTCAGGGGGAACACAGGCTTGTGGTCAGTATAACTCAGTCTCCCAGAGCAAGAAGACGTGGAGAATCTGGAGGGGAACATGGGAGACAGCCAGCCACTGAGTGACCGACCGACCACATGTGTGCTGGAGTGAAAGTAGGGACAGCAAAGACCAACTCCTGGTTCCAGCTGCCCTCTAGCAGACAGATGCCAATCCTGACTGAATGGGCCAATGCAGAAAAAAGCAAAGGAGAATATCTTATCTCGTGTCTGTGCAATTAGACAAAACATATTTACCTCCAAAACCATGGAGCCAAATTCTTTATCTTTGTAGAGCTGTTTAGCACAGGCTAGGATGGTGGACGTCTTTCCTGTTCCAGGAGGGCCATAGAGAAGCAGGTGTGGCAGGCGGTCTTCACTGATAAATTTTTGAACTGAGGAATGGAAAGAGGGAGAGATATTATCAGTCTCCTGGAACCACCTCGTTGATTCTGGTCCTTATTTGTCCACGACGACGCTTCAACCCAATGCCACGTTCAAGCAGATGAAGGAATGGAAAACCTGAAGGACTCAAAGCTCAAACCCCTATTCTATGAGACTGGATCAAATCCCTCAAATTTACTATTTAGCAGAGACGACATCACTGTGAAATGTACACAGGTCCTTCTAAGATAAGGCAACTGCCTGTGTTACTTACTGGTACTCAGAATATCCTGATGAGAAATGAGATCATTTAGCTTCTGCGGTCGGTATTTCTCAACCCTGAAACAATTGAGTATATAAATACAAGAACATTTTGTTACATGTAACAGAATCCTTTCAAATCTTTATGAAAAGAGGAAGAAAAATAAAAACATATTAAGTTTTAATATAAACCAGCAGCTCTTAACTAGGGGCCATTTTGTCTCCCAGGGCATAGTGGGCAATATCAGGAGATATTTTTTGGTTGTAACAATTTGAGGGGGAGGCGGTAGGTGCTGTTGAAAATATCCTATAATGCATATGCTGTTGTGAAGTGCTATTGAGTCAGTTCTGACCTATAGCAACCCTGTATAGGGTTTCTAAGGAGCGGCTAGTGAGCTTGAACCACCGACACGTGGTTCAAACAACCTTGCAGGCCAGGCATTAACCCACAAAGCCATACCAGGGCATACATACAAAGTAGGAGCTGTGGTAGCATAGTGGTTACGAGTCAGGCTGCGAACCTCAAGGTCAGCAGTTCAAAACTATCAGCCATTGCATGGGAGAAAGATGAGGCTTTCTGCTCCCATAAAGATTCACAGCTTCAGAAACCCTGTACAGGGCAGCTATGAGTTGGAACTGACTCGATGGCACACCACCTCCACACACAAAGTACTTGGCTCAAAGTATCAGTGCTATTCAGGTTACAGCAACTCTAATTTCACCTTTTTAGCTACCTACTCATAACGTCCATCTTGATGGGCATCTACTAGTTCAAAGAAAAATCAAAATGACACTCATACCAAATGTGCATCAACAGACAAGTGTACAATAGGAAACAGGCACACAATGGAATGTCATTGTTAGTCGAGTCAGCTCCGACCCATAACGACCCTGAGTAGGATTTCTAAGGAGTAACTGGTGAGCTTGAACTGCCAACCTTGCAGTTCAAACGGCTTTGCAGTCTGGTGCATTATCTCACAGCGCCACACCAGGACTCCATTGTCGTAAGTGCTGTCAAATCAGTTTCAACTTAGTGACTCTGTATAGGGTTTCAAGGAGCAGCTGTTGGGTTTGAACTGCCAACCTTGTAATTAGCAGTCCAGTGCTTACCCCACAGTGCCACACCAGGACTCCCAATGGAATATGATTCAGCAGTGAAATGGAACAAAGGATAATACATGTCAGGACATGAACCCTGAGAACATTATGCTAAGTGAAAGAAAGGAGAATCAGAGATTACATACTGTACAGGTCTTCATATGAAATATTCAGAATAGGCAAAACCATAGAGACAGAAGTTTAACAGTTGCCAATGGGGATGCTTCCTAGGTGTGGGATTTACACTGGAGGTGATGAAAAGTTTTAGAACTAGAGAGCAGTAATGGTTACACAACATTCTTAATGTTAATTTCACTGAATTGTAAGTTTTAAAATGATTACCAGAATTGATTGTATGATTCCTGTTTCTTACTATAATAATAATAATAAATTGAGCACGTTATTATTAAGAGCGATTTGGAGTTTTCCAAATGAAACCCAATCCACCCAGTCTTTACAGTATGACATGACGTATCTGTAGAAGTAGGATGGTTATTACCAGAAACCTATTTTCTAGCGCTGATATCTTAAGGTTCAGTTTAAGGTTAGTGGGTTGGTTACAATGGTTCAAACCCACCAGCTGCTCTTCGAAAGAAAAGATGAGGTCGTGTTCCCTACATGCTTGAAAACCCTACGGAGCTACAAGTAAGAATCGACTCTATGGCAGAGGATTTGGTTTTGTGTTTGTTTTGTTTAATATATATGTAAGGATTTGGTAAGTATTCGCACTGAGGAATTTGGTTGTCAAAAAAGGAGAGGAGATCCTGCGTGTGGAGTTCCTGTGCAGGTGTCAGAAGTGGGGTCGAATCCCGGTCCTGTCACCACAGTGCGAAAACCGCTTTCTTTTGCGGCAAACGAGATTTGGAGACGCAGGGTTTGGGTTCTAAACAGAGCGGGGCAGAGTGTGAGGAATCTCCAGGTAAACCTCAGTGTCCACCCCGGCCGCGGGCTTGGGGACAGAGGGGCGAGCTCAGCCGAGGCCCGACCACCTCCCCACTGCGGCCGCCGGGCCTCCTCCTACCAGGGTAGGTTCCTGCTCTTGGCCGCCACGGGTTGTTGCTGCTTGAGAGCTGAGGCCTCCATGGATGGGACACGCAGGTGATCGGGTCCACTGGGATTGTCGCGTCCCCCAAGACCCAGTACGATAAACAGCCGCTACCACTCCGCGGACCCTCGCACTTAGAGTTCGCGCGCAAACGTAATTCTCGCGATGTTTCCCGTGCGCTTCCGACTTCCTCTCTTGGTCCCGCCTCTCTGCGATCTTAAACCGCAGGTTGCCAGGTAACCGAGAGGCGGTGGCTACCAAACTCCTCCCTCGGCGTTTCAGTTCCGCGTTGTGTTTTCTGAAGTGTGCAGGGCTTCCCGAGCCCTAGGAGCGAAGGAGCGCGAGAGCCAAGGCCGCCCCCTGTTGCCGCCAGTCATTATTGTCACAAATTAGGGTCTCAAATCCAAAGCCAGTTCCAATCATCCTCTGACAACTTCACTAAGGTTCAAAACGTTTGCCGTTCAGGGAACAGAATGCCACCAGAGCTTAAAACAAACAAACAAACAAAAAACAAACCTAAGGGAAAAAACTCTAAAAGACACGGACAGTTCTTGAATACGGATATCTATCTGAAAAAACGTCCACAACACCGTCTGCCCCAAAACTATGTGTGAGGTTAATCTTTGAAGTTGAAAAACAATGCCAACCTACATGATGTCGGAATCCGTGTCCCTCACCCAACAAAATTCAGAGAGCCAGTCTCCAGAAAATAGCTCCTTAGTGAAAACGAAAAAAGCAGCTTCCAGTTAGATTAATTTGCCAAGAAAATCCTTCAATAACGAAAGTTGAGGCTTGAATTTTTTCTTCAGTTCCCCCAGCTTCAGAAATGCTGAGCATTTTCTTCACTTTTGGTTTTTTGACTCAAGATCTTTGCACATTTCGTTGTAATATTTGACTATGTCTTCTCTAGCTGACCTTTGAAATTTTCTGTTCAGCTCTTGTCCCTCCTCATTTCTTCCATTTGCTTTAGTATCTCCACACTGGAGAGCAAGTTTCAGAGTCTCTTCTGACATGCATTTTGATCTTTTCCTTCTTTCTTGTCTTCTTAATGACTTTTTGCTTTCTTCCTGTATTATGTTCTTGATGTCTTCCCACAACTCTTCTGGTCTTTGGTCTTTAGTGTTTAATGTATCAAATCTGTTCTTCAGATGATCTCTAAATTCAGGTGGGATATATTCAAGGTCATATTTTAGTTCTCGTGGACTTGTTTTCTTTTCTTCAGCTTCAGTTTGAATTTGCATATGAGTAATTGATGGTCTGTTCCACAATCTGCTCCTTCCTTGCTTTGGTTGATGATATGGAGCTTTTCCACTGTCTCTTTCCCCAGATGTAGCCAATTTGATTTCTATGTATTCCATCTGGTGAGGTCCATGTGTATAGTCTTCTCTTAAGCTGTCTAAAGAAGGTATTTGAAATGAACAAATCATTGAGTTTGCAGAATTCTACCAGGGTATCTCCAGCATCATTTCTATCACCAAGACCATATTTTCAAACTACTGATTCTTCCTCTTTGTTTCCAACCTTTGCATTCCAATCGCCAGTAGTGATCAATACATCTTGATTGCATGTTTGATCAAGTTCAGATTGAAGAAGTTGGTAGAATTCTTCTATTTCGTCCTCACTGGTTTTAGCGGTTGGTGTGTAAATGTGAACAATAGTGGTATTAACTGGTCTTCCCTGTAGGCACATGGATATTATCCTATCACAAACAGCGTTGTACCTGATGACTGATCTGGATGTGTTATTTTTGATGATGAATGCAACACCATTCCTCTTCAATCTGTCATTCCTGACATAGTAAACCATGTGGTTGTCAGATCCAAAATGGCCAATACCAATCCATTTCAGCTCACTAATCCCTAAGAAAGATATTGATGTTTATGCAATCCATTCCATTTTTGACAATTTCCATTTTTCTTAGATTCGTACATTCCATGTCCGATTATTATTGGATGTTTACAGCTGTTTCTCTTCATTTTGAGTTGTGGCCCATCAGCAAATGAAGGTCCCAAGGGCTTTATTCCCACGGGTTTTACTCTATTGCGTCATCACGATCAACTCTATTTTGAGGAGGCAGCTCTTTTCCAGTAGCATTTTGAGTGCCTTCCAACCTGAGGGGCTTATTTTCTGGCACTATATCTGACAGTGTTTCTATGCTACTCATATGGTTTTCAGTTCTAAATATTCAGAACTTGTTCGTCCCTCCTTCTTCCTAGTCTGTCTTTCTCTGGAAGCTCATCTGAAATCTGTCTACCGTAGTGACCTTGCTGGTATTTAAAATACCCGTGGCATAGTTTCCAGAATCACAGCAACTCACAAGCACCACAATATGACAAACTGACAGACGAGTAGTGGATCAAAAGAAGATGGAAGGAATACACAGAGTCACTGTAACAGAGGAAATGGTTGATATTCAACCGTTTCAAGAAGTAGCGTGTGATCAAGAAGGAAGAAGCCCAAGGTGCATTGAAGGAATTGACAAAGAACAAGGCACCAGGAATTGATGGAATAAAAATTGAAATCTTTCAACAAAGTGAGGCGGCACTGGTGGCACTCACTTATCTATGCCAAGAAATTTGGAAGACAGTTATCTGGCCAACTGATTGGAAGAGATCCATATTTATGCCCATTCCAAAGAGAGGTGACCTAACAGAATGCGTAAATCATTGGACAATACCTTTGATATCCCATGAGAGTGAAGTTTTACTAAAGGTAATACAGACATGGCTGCAAGCATACATTGATAGAGTACTTCCAGAGGTTCAAGCTGGATTCAGAAGAGGCCATGGAACGAGGGATATCGTTGCTGACATCAGATAGGTCTTGGCTGAAAGCAGAGAATACCAGAAAGATGTCTACTTGTACTTTATTGGCTATGCAAAGGCTTTTGGTCATGTGGATCATGACAAGCTATGGACAACATTGCAAAGTATGAGTATTCCTGAAGACTTAATTTTGCTCATGAGGAATCTGTATATGGACCAAGAGGCAGTTGTTCGAACAGAGCATAGGAACACTGAATGGTTTAAAATTAAGAAAGGTGTGCAACACCTTACTCATTCAACCTGTGTGCTGAGCAAATGATCAAAGAAGCTGGGTTCTATGAAGAAAAACGTGGCATCGGGATTGGAGGAAAACTCATTAACAACTGGCAATATGCAGATGATACAACCTTGCTTCCTGAAAGTGAAGAGGACTTAAAAGATTTACTTATGAAGATCAAAGACCAGCTTTTGGTATGGATTACATCTTAATGTAAACAAAACAAAAATCTTCACCACTGGACCAATAAACAACATTCTTATCCATGGAGAAATGATTGAAATTGTCAAAGACTTCATTTTTCTTGGATCATGGAAGCAGCAGTCAAGAAATCAAACACGTATTGCATTAGGCAAATCTGCTGCACAGGACCTTCTTAATGTGTTGGAGAGCAAAGATGTCAGCTTGAGTACTAAGGTGCGCCTGACCCAAGCCATGGTATTATCAATAACCTCATATGGATGTGGAAGTTAGACAGTGAGTAAGGAAGACCTTAGAAGAATTGATGCCTTTGAGTTATGGTGTTGGAGGAGAATATTGAAAGTACCATGGGCTGCCAACAGAACCAACAGATCTGTGTTGGAAGTGCAGCCAGAGTGCGCCTTGGAGACCTGGATGGCCAAACTTCATCTCTCATACTTTGGACATATTGTCAGGAGGGACCAGTTGCTGGAGAAGGATATCATGTTTGGTAAGGTGGAGGGTCAGAGAAAAAGGGGAAGACCCCCAGCGAGATGGATTGGCAAAATGGCAGCATCAATGGGCTCAAGCGTGGCAACCATTGTGAAGTTGGCCCAGGATCGGGCAGTGTTTCGTTGTGTTGTGCATAGGGTTGCTTTGAGTTGGTACCGACTCAATGGCACCTAACAACAAGAAGTTAGGTTAATATATATAACTGGAAGGACTAAAAACATAAGATACTGAGGAGAGCTGACATCAATGTTGTAGTGAGGGGATTCTGAGCCACATCTCCACAAGTTTTCTTCTTTTTGGCTGCTCTGCATTCCCCAGCAAATATGAATGTCTTGGACTACTGGTATGGCGCTGTAGAATCGGCATTGGCCTGCGGACCACAAGATCTGCAGTTCAAACCTAGCAGCAGCTCCTTGGAAAGTCTATCCAGGATTTCCATGTGTAGGATCGATTCGATTCGATGGCACTTATCAACATGTCTTAGATCCATGACAAAGTGTTGGCCCAGGATCGGGCAGTGTTTTATCCATGAGGAAGGCCGAATGAATGCATTGGGAGGTGTGAGGCGGGGTCAGCAGTGTTCTGATTCAGAAAGTGCTGTTCTCCTTGTATCTCATTTTTCAGGAACAGAAGAGCAAGACAGTGGGCAAATATCAGAGTAAATGAAAAACCCTGCCACGAGGGTTCCAGTTCATATATGCACTGGTTTATTCCACAGAAACCGTGTTTAAACATGCCTCTGCAGTCAGTGACTGGCTGCAAGACAAATTCTCTCAGTAACACGCTTGTCTTAGTCTTGTTTGTTGTTGTCAAGTGCCATCGAGTCGGTTCCGACCCATAGCGACCCTGTAAAGGGTTTCCGTGGAGCAGCTGGTGAGCTTGAACCGCCAACTTTGCAGTTCAAACAGCTTTGCCGTCTGGCACATTAACCCACAGTGCTAAAAAAAACACACACACAGAAGACAGTCTTCTCAAAATAGTGGTTTCCCTGGGGCGCTGCTGAGACAGTTAAATTGAAGGCGGAGAGGTCAGCTCAGAGGAAGGCTATGGCCACCAGTTTTAGAATTCCAGAGAAGTCATCTTGATAAACGTTTCTCAAAGGACACAGGACGATCCTGGGGGTTTATTATGAAGAAGTTTTAGGAAATGAAAATTGCTTTGGCAAGGAAAAGGCCAAGAAAGTTGCACCAAGGAATGTTTTGTTTGTTTGTTTGTTCTCATCACAAAACTACACCTCTTTTTTGAGGATCATAGGTGAGGGCTGTCCTCTGAGATTTTGTTGGGGAACCTTACCCCACCCATCCACCAGCTCTGATCTTACCCCTTCAGACTTTTGTTGTTGCTGTTCCCCAAACTCAAAGAACATTTCAAAGGAACATGATGTGAGTCCCTCGAGGATGTCAGAACTGCTGTTATGACATGAAGAGTG